TCCATTTAAAGCACCTCTATCTGTTCAAAACAGTGAGCATGTCGGCAAGGGAAAGAAGGATTCTTGTTTCTATGGTGAGTTATTCATTCTTTTCTATTACAATTTGGGGGAGAGAGTAGAGAGATGGTTTTTGTTAGTATGTTTCTTTCCCTTTTCATGTTGTTTTGCAGAAAAGGCTGTTGAAGACTTCTTCAAGTTTCGCCTGGGGCCACGGACTGGACGGAAAGACAGGAGCAATGCAAGGAGGTCCTCAGGCCATGCTCTTCAGTTTTGCCTCTACATGGCTGCTGGTCTACCCTCCAAGATTGTCTCCAGTGACCTAAGATTCCTGAACCAAATGGACAAGTTGGTGGGCAAGTGTTTTCTTGGTCCAGAAATATTATATATATATTTTTTAGATTTAGGCACAAATACTCCCCAAATCTTATCGATGGATTCCAAATTGTGATCTCTGATGTTGTGAAATAGATGTAAATATGAAATGTCAAATGTGATGGTGGACTTGAAAGTAAGAGTGGATTGCAACTGCTTACCTTTTTCCATAGTTGGCCAACATACCTGGTCCAGAAGGGCTACGCACCTGCAACAATGAAAAACATGTTGACCAACGTGACTATGTTTTTCAAGCACATTGAAAAGTCCTTCCTGAGTAAAGGCAAGCTCAAACAGAATGAATTAAAAACAATTCTGCACGAGTTGAAGAGGATCCAGGCTGAGATTCAAAGACTACGGGTTCATTCTCGGCAAAAGCGGTTGTGTCGTAAAACAGGTAAATTTTGTCAAGTTCTTTTTTGTCTTGTTATCTAAAGAAATTTCAGATTGGATCCTCAATGACTGTGGTGTATGTTGCATTGTTTTCACAGATGATCAGCTTCATGCAGTTCAGCAAAGTGCTTTCATGACAGCTGCCAGGGAAAACATTCCTAAATTGTTTGGTATGTAGACTTATTTTTTATTTTTTGTTTTGGTTGCTTACATTCACAACCAACATTTTTTTTCATGATTTTTGTAGAACAACTGGAGAGCAGTGGAAATCAGAAGAATGAGCATTCTAAGCTAATGGGCTACATCATGGGCTACCTGTGCCCTCACCGGACACAGATCGGTTGTCCTCACCAACATGACAAAGGAAAATGTGGTCAACTTTGTCTGTTGGAATCATGGCAAGAGATTCCAAGTTCTGGTTAGTACCTCTATTTTCAGGTGGTAATTTACGCTGGGCTGGACTTTTAACCTGGACTACATGTCATCCCTTCCTAAGTGAAACCATCTTTAGTGCACATTTCAATTGAAAGCTGAGGGGTTAATGCAGTTTCAAAAAATTTTCTAATTTAAAAATAAAAATGGGTGCAAACATTTTAAATAAAACAATAGATAAATTCTGGTGATAAAATAATGTGGAAACACTGCTCATGTTTTTTTTTTATTACTGGTGGGGAATCAAGGATTTGAAGGCTGATATTTGAGACAGAAGGAGCGAGCAGTTTGTTTCCAAGTACCAATGCAAGCTTTTAGATGTCTGAATTGCTGTATTAAAGACAGGTGGTGGGATCTCCCTAGCTAAAACAACCAGTCATTGATGACATGTTTTATTTTGCAAGATTGACGACCAGAAAACCATGCAGTCATTTGGTCAGGCTGCATTCAACCTAAATGAGGAGGAATTTAGGTGGCTGGAAAACCTTGTCAACTCCAAGTGCTGTCCCCAAGGTCAGACCAGTGATTATGTTTTCCACACAACATTTGGAAAAAAGATCGCTAAGGCCGAGAACTTCCTTCATCTGGCTTGGGCAGACTGTGGAATGAAGGGCACATTCATCTTTCCCAAGATCGAGAGCAGTCTTTCTACTCAAGTAAGTACTTAATGCAAGGTAGAATCTGGATATAGGATTGATTTTGAAGTTGTAGCTGTTTATGTTTTATTTCTTTGTTTTTCAGAACAGCCTTCCTCCTGCTCCTCCTCACACGTCCAGGAGGGAATTGGATTTCTTAAGTGAAGAATCTGCAGTCTCAAAAATACATGTCTACACACCTTCAAAGTGTTTTTGTGTTATTGAGAAGTTGCGGCCAGCAGTTGCTGACTATTATCTCATCAAAGCAAATCTTTCCAATGCCCTGCCGAGGCAAGCACCCCTTGCCGACCCAAAGAACATACCTGCGCACCTGGCTGAGCAGAGCACCAGGTTCCAAGCAGCACAGAAAGTTCAGGAGGAACCAAATAGAGCCCCTGAGCCCCTCACTGCCAAGACCACAGATGAGTACCCAACTGAGCAGGTCCCAGGGAAAGTGTCAGCACCCCTGAGCCTCGTGCAGCAGACTCCCAACTGCATGCTAGAAACACAAGAGAAGGATGAACAAAGCCCTTCGAGACAGGACCCAGGGTGTGTTCCAGATCCTATGATCCAGGAGACAACAGAGTTGATACCAGAAACACCTGAAGACCAGATGCCACAAACCCAAGCAGAGGAGGTTCAGAAGCCCTAGCCAGGCAGGACCCTGGCATGTGCTCAAAAACCCATCATGCAGGTGACACAGGAGTTGATACCAAGAACGCCATCAGAGGAGGTGTTTAGGGCATGTTCCTTGTTACAAGAAAGTAAAACACAGTGCCCCAAAGATGTGATTAGCTCTGGTTGGGAATAATCATGTTTAAGAGTTTTAGAGTAATATGTTCATTTATCTTTAAAAGGAGAAAGAATGCTGACGCTTTGATTTATTTAATTTTTTTGTTTATAATTTACAGTTTCTCTTTTTGTTAAATTGCAAGTTGGTCTAGGTAGTCTGTTACACACACACTTGCTCACACGCACAAGCACACAGGTGCACATGCACAGACATGCACACACATTTTTACTTTTAATTATAATGTAAATTTTACTTAAAAAATATATCTCAGCAGAATTATTCAAGTAAATTTTTCCAAGACCAGTCTACATGCTTGTGTTTGCCTCTTATTTGAGCCTTTTCTTTATAGTTGTTCTGCTCATTCTCACTCTCAAGTAAATGTAATGATGAGTTGTCAAGACCCTCTGCTCTTTAAATTGTTATATATTGGAATAGTCATAGATGAGCAACTGAAAGTACTTCAAAGTCTAATATGTAAAGGATTAAGGGAGAGAGCAGGCTGATTCCAAGTACCAACAGACACTTGTAGATGCTGTATAACTCTAGCTACAAGTAATGATGAGTTGTTGATAAACCAAATAATTCAAAATTCTCATTTTATGAATTAGATGAATGACATTGTGGATGTATTTCAATGGCTGTTGTTTCAAAGTCAGATTGACCTAATGAGCTTATTTACAGTACCCATGGAAGCTTGTAGATGTTTGCATCAACAACAGGTGACTGCAACACTCTAGGGTTATACAATTTGTAGTTATTCAAGGATGAAAAATGTTCATATTCTCATCTATTGAGTTATCCATTTTTCCAAAAGTGGAATAACTTCAAAAGTTGACATTTTAAACACAGATGGAGAAAGCAGTCTGATTCCAATTACCAAAGGAAGCCTGTAGATTGCTGTTTCAATAACAGGTGGCAGCATCACTCCAAGTGAAAGTATCGACGAGTTATTGAGGAACCAAATGATTCCAGATTCTCATCTATTAAGTGAGCCATAGATTCAAATCTGGAATCATTTTGAAAGCCTATATTTAGGCTGAGTACCACTGGAAGCTTTTAGAGTGCTTTATCACACACAGGTGAGTACACCACTCTAGGTAAATGTGTTGATGACTTAGTAAGGCACCTAATGATTCCAGATTTAAATCTATTGAATGCACTAAATATGCAAATCTGGAAATAAATTAAAAGCTAGCAATGTAAAGACAGAGGGTGAGAGTGGTCTGAAGAACCTAAAAAGTAAATTCCCACATGGTGTCTGCACAAATCAGGGCAACATTTAAGACCATCTGTTCTTAACTTTCATACTGAGAATATTGATTTGCCTTTGTGGTCACAGCAAAAGGTTTGGACACATTTCAGCCCATATGGAGTTTTCTAGCACCAGCACTGTGAGTTAATTTTTCCCATTCCATAGATTTATGCACAGGATGTGAATTGGGGAATCAGAATAGGAATCAGAATCGGCTTTATTGCAAGGTATGTGTACACATATGAGGAATTTGACTATGGATTTTACAATGCTCACCATGTGTTTACTTATAAAATAATAAAATAAGACAGGCTATAGCGGAGACAACGCAAATATACACACAATAAACAAACACAGTCATGACATTTGCCTGCGTTCAAAGTTCAAATTGAAGGTTGTAGACTGTTGCATCCAGGACAGGTAGATGCATCACTGTAGTGAAATTTGATGATGATTAATAAGGGCACAAAAAATTCAAAATTCTCAATTGCAAAAGATGGATGACATCTTGGGTGCACTTCAAAAAAACGGAATGGAATTGGTTGATTTCACGTACCAATAAAAGCTTAAACACTGCTTGATGACATAGATTCATGGGAAATGGTCCACTAGAAAAGCCTGGAATTAACATTGTAAAATAATTATTTAAAACTCATACAGAATGTGCAGGTGTTGTGTATTTAATATTTTAGTAACCATTAACATGAAACATAAAACCAGTTCACAATTTTCTACTTCCTTTGTCACAGTAAGTAGAAAAAATAAAAAATGAAACTAGTTTCCATGTTTAAATTTAATCAACAATGTTCTTACCTTCCGTGATTCAATCTATAGTATAATGAATGCATGTAGATGAAAACATGGACTTCCTCTGTCAACAGGAAGTAGAAGCTGCAGCAGGAGCACGGACCGCATGGTGAGTAAGTGTCAGCTCTGTAATTTATCGAGTTTCTCATGCTAAAAGCGTTGATACTTGGTCTATTTTGTTGTATTTCAGTGAGAAAAATGCCAGTATCATGTTTTTATGCATTTTTTTAACATTTAAAAGGAAATTTCATTGCTTTTTCTGATAAAATGTGGAATGTAAATTTTATTTCCAAATTTCAGCCTACCTTCCACTTAATTCATGAAATGAAATTTAAAAAAAGCTTGCAGCTTTATTTTGTATTCTTATATTTGTGTTCAACTTCCTAGTTCATCCAGATTCAGTAATTACTGAAAAGTAATGGAGCCCCTCACTTTTTTAAAGTAATTTTGTTGCTTTTTCTGTTGAAAACGATCACTTCAATGACATAGATGAAAATTTGGAATGTAAATTTTATTTCCAAATGTCAATCTACCTTCCACTTGATTCATTAAATGAAATGAAAAAAACTTTATTTTGTATTCTTATGATTGTGTTCTAATTCCTAGTTCAACCAGATTCAGCAATTACTGAATAGAAATGGAGCCCCTCACTGCCAAGACCAAAGATAGTGTGTCAGCGCCCCCAACTGAGCAGGTCCCAGGGAAAGAGTCAGAACCCGTGAACCTCCTGCAGCAGACTCCCAACCGGATGCCACAAATGCAAGATAAGGCTGAACAAACCCCACCGGGACTGGAGCCAGGATATTTTCCAATTCCTACGATCCAGGAGACACCAGAGTTGGTACCAGAAACACCAAAAGACCAGATGCCAAGCAGAGGAGGTGAAGAAGCCCTAGCCAGGCCGGACTTGGCATGTGCTCAAAAACCCATGATGCAGGTGGAACCAGGAGTTTGTGCCACAAACCGCATCAGAAGAGGTGTTTAGGGTTTGTTCATGTCCCTTGTTACAGGACAGTAAAAAACAGTGCCCGAAGGATGTGATTAGCTCTGGTTGGGAATAATCATGTTTAAGAGTTTTGAGTAATATGTTCTTTTATCTTTAAAAGGAGAAAGAATGCTGACGCTTTGATTTGTTTGATTTGATTTTTATGTTTGTAATTTTAGTCTTTTCGTTACATAGTCGTTCACACACACATGCTCATACATACACACACAAGCACACAGGTGCACATGCACAGACATGCACACATAAGTTTTGACTTTTTTTAAATAATGCAATAATAATGTAAATTTAACCTAAAAACATATCTCAGCAGAATTTAATTTGCAGGTGGACCCAGGAGTTTATGCCACGAACCCCATCAGAAGAGGGGTTCAGGGTTTGTTCATGTCCCTTGTTACAGGACAGTAAAAAACAGTGCCCGAAGGATGTGATTAGCTCTGGTTGGGAATAATCATGTTTAAGAGTTTTGAGTAATATGTTTGTTTATCTTTAAAAGGAGAAAAAACGCTGACGCTTTGATTTGTTTGATTTGATTTTTATGTTTGTAATTTTAGTCTTTTTGTTACATAGTCGTGCTCATACATACACACACATAAGTTTTGACTTTTTTTATAATGCAATAATGTAAATTTCTCAGCAGATCTCAGCAGAATTTAATTTAATAAATTTTACAGACCAGTCAACATGCTTGTGTCTGCCTCATATTTGGGCCATTTCTTTATAAAGTTGTTCTGCTTATTATAAGTAAATGTAATGATAAGTTGTCAGTAGATTGTTGTTTCAATAACAGGTGGCTACATCACTCCACGGGAAAGTATTGATGAGTAAATGAGGGACCAAATGATGGATGACATTTTGAGTGCAATTCCAAAGCTGAAATATCAAGAACTAATTGAAAGAACGGGTTGATTTTAAGTACCACTTAAAGCTTGAAGACTGTTGTTTCACATACAGGTGTCTGCATCATTCTAGGTAAAAGTGTCAATGAGTTATTGAGGCACAAAATGATTCCAGATTCTCATCTTTTGCATTATATGGATGCCATTTTGGGTTCACTTCAGAGGCTGATATTTCAACAACTGGTTGAAGGAACGGGTTGATTTCAAGTGTCAATAAAAGGTGGAAAACTCTGGTATCAAGGACAGGTGTTTGCATCACTGTAGGTACAAGCATCAAGGAGTTATTAAGGGACCAAATCATTCCAGATTCTCATCTTTTGAGTGCACCATAGATGCAAATCTGGAATGACTTTGAAGGCCAATTCTGCAAAGACAGAAAGAGAGAGAAACCTCATTCCATGTACCACTGGGAGGTTTAAGAGTGCCTTACCACATACAGGTGGCTGCATCGCTCTAGTCACAATTAATGATGAGTTATTAAGGGAAGAAATCATTCCAGATTCTCATCTATTGATTGCGCATAAATGCAAATCTGGAATGACTTTGAAGGCCAATATTGCAAAGACGGAAAGAGAGAGAAACCTCATTCCATGTACCGGTGGGAGCTATTAGAGTGCTTTACCACATACAGGTGGCTGCATCACTCTAGTCTCAAATAATGATGAGTTATTAAGGGGCCAAATGATTCCAGATTCTCAACTATTTAGTGGACCATAGATTCAAATCTGGAATCAGTTTGAAGGGCTATATTTTAAAGACAGATGGAGATAGAAAAATGATTCTAAGTACCAGCGGGAGCTATTAGAGTACCTTATCACATACAGGTCGCTGCATCACTCCAGGCACAATTAATGATGAGTTTTTTAGGGGCAAAGTGATTCCAGATTTGAATGTATTGCATTATATGGATGAAATTTTCGGTGCTCTTCAAAGGCTAAAATTTCTAAAACTGATCGACGGAACGGGTTGATTCAAAGTACCAGTAGAAGCTTGACAACTGCTGTATCACATACAAGTGTGTCCACAATTCTAGACGCAAGTATCCGTGAGTCATTGAGGGACCAAATGATTCCAGATTCCTATCTATTGCATTACGTGGATGGAATTTTGGGTCCACTTCAAAGGCTGATATTTCAAAAAAGTTATTGAAGGAACGGTTTTATTTCAAGTAGTTATAAAAGTTGGAAGACTCCTGTATAAAGGACAGGTGTCTGCATGACTGTAGGTACATGTAATGATGAGTTAGTAAGGCACCAAATGATTCCAGATTCTCATCCATTTAGTGGGCTAAATATGCAAATCTGGAGTTACATGAAAGGCTAGCACTTTAAAGACAGAGGGAGAGAGTGGTCTGGGTCCAAGTACCTAAATGGCGATGCCCATATGGTGTCTGCAGAAATCAGGGCAACGATTAATGCCATTTGTTCTTACCTGGGTCTGTGTGGCTAACTGTCACTCATTACAAACTTTCATACTAAGAAAATTTATTGTGGCACCGTATTTACCTATGCAGGATGTATGCATGGTCACAACCAAAAGGTATGGTCACGTCTCTGCCCATTTGGAGTTGCCTTGAACCAGTACTGTGGGTTAATTTCTTCCGTTCCATGTATTCATGAACAGGATGTGAAAATGGGATTTGTGACCATTGCCTGTGTTTCAAGTAGCACAAGTGATGATGAGCTAATAAAGAAACCAAAACATTCTATATTCTCAAGTCCAAAGGATCGACTACACTTTGGGTGCACTTCAAAAGCTGATATGTCAATAACTGGTTGAAGGAAGGAGTTCATTTCAAATGCCAATAAAAGATTGAAGCCTGCTGGATCACATTCAGGTTGCTGCATCATTCCAGCTACAAGAATCAATGAGTTATTGAGGGACCAAATGATTTCAGATTCTCCTGTTTTGCATTACATGGATGACATTTTGGGTGCAATTCAGAAGCTGATATATCAAGAACTAATTGAAAGAAGGGGTTGATTTCAAGTACCGCTTAAAGCTTGAAGACTGCTGTTTCACATACAGGTGTCTGCATTACTCTAGGTAAAAGTGTCAATGAGTTATTGAGGCACAAAATGATTCCAGATTCTCATCTTTTGCATTATATGGATGCCATTTTGGGTTCACTTCAAAGGCTGATATTTCAACAACTGGCTGAAGGAACGGGTTGATTTCAAGTGTCAATAGAAGCTTGAAGAAGTGGTATCAATGAGTTATGAAGGGACCAAATTTTTCCAGATTCTCATCTACTGAAAGGGAAATACATTAAAGGTTAACACTTCAAAGGCAGATGGAGAGAGTGGTCTAATTGCATGTACCTTAATTTGGATGCCCACATGGTCTTTACAGAAAGAATGGGCACATTTGAGGCCATATGGCATTGCCTGTCACCATTTCTGTGAGTAAATTTGTGATTCCATATTTTGATACACTGTGTTTGAATAGTGGAATCATGATATTTGCCAAGGTGGGTATGCAGATATTGTTCCAGCAGTCGTTTTTGGTCACCTCTTTGGCCAATGGGATTATTTTGGAGTCATCCAGTGGGGGGCAGCTCCTAGGAATCTGTACAATATGTGTCAAAATCATAACTGAATTATATTTTTTGATAACTTTTCACTTTTAACCGCAGGCTGGCCTCTGAGAGCTTTTAAATGTTAGGTATTTAGGTTTAAGCCTGCTCTAATGAGATGAAATGAGCTTTTGCATAGTATCTCGACAGTTTCAGCACGATAGGCACACCATGTTGATAATGTTCACAATATTAAATTATTAAACAATCTTTAAACCATAACGTAGATAGCCTATTCATTCAAGCAAGTTATATAGCAATCATCATCATTTTTAAATCAACTACGGCTGACATGCCAAGGCACAGTGTTCCCTGGCATGTTGGTACGTAGTATTTTAAAGGAGGAGTTGGGGGTAAGCTGCGGAGTAAGACACATAAGAAAAACGTCCACTTTAAATGTTTAAATTTAATCAATGTTATTTCCTTCCATGTTTCAATCTATTGTATAATGTCTGTAGATGAAAAAATGGACTTCCTTTGTCAACAGGAAGTAGAATTCAGCAGGAGCATTGGGCACATGGTGAGCAAATCTCAGCTCAGCTAATTTATATATTTTTCTCATACAAAAGTGTTGATAATTGGTTTGTGTTGTCTTATTTCAGTGAGTTACATCCCAATGTTATGTTTTATGCATTTTTGAACTTGTAAAAAGTAGTTTTTATTGCATTTTCTGTTAAAAATTTAAATATTATCACATAGATGTAAATGTGGAATGTCAATTTATTTTCCAAATTTCAATTTACCATTGACTTAGTTTATAGATTGAAATCGAAAAGACACAGCAAAAAACTGTGATGTTCTATCTATCTAACAGATTTATGTTGATTCCCAGCATGCTGACTGTGGGGAAAAATGGACAGATGTACCAGAATGAGTGTGAAGGAACTGTGTGAGACCAATGACCTGGCAACTGCTTTGGTGTTGGACCCTCTGCTTGGCTTCAGAACCCATAAAATGAATATCAGTCCTCTACCAGAGATACAACATTGGGGTAATCTCAAAGAAACTTTGGTGCAATTTGAGAATACACATGACTTCAACAAGACTTTTGAGGCGCTGACAAAACTGGCTGGTGACTGTTTTAATTCTCTGGGAAGCCATCATCAAGACCTACTGAGGGAACATGTTTATCGCTACTTCAGTGCCTTCCTGTTGGACAGTGGTGTCAAGATAGAGTCCTGTGCGAGATACTCTTCAGAGACAAATGGAGCAAAGGTAACCTCTACAAGGCACTGGTTTGCAGGACAACGTATTGAGGTCTTGCTGGGCTGCATAGCAGAGTTTAGCCCTGCTGACAGCAATGTTCTGAAGGCAGGAATCAATGACTTCAGCGTGATGTATTCAATGCGCAAACATTCTGCTCAGCTGTGGCTTGGGCCTGCAGCTTTCATAAACCATGACTGTAAACCAAACTGCAAGTTTCTTGCTAGTGAGAAGAATATCGCTTATGTTGAAGTGATTCGACCAATCTCACCTGGGGAGGAGATTACGTGTTACTATGGTTCCAGCTTTTTTGGGGATCAAAATGAAAAGTGTGAATGCTGCACTTGTGAAGGGAATGGAGAGGGTCATTTCAAACACAGAGGGAAGCAGCTCCATTTTGAGGAAACAAAGGACCCTGTGAGCAAAAAGTACCAACTGAGGGAGAGATATCTTCATCTAAAAAGAAAAAGAAGGAACAAGCAGATTTCTGGACCAGCTCTGAAAGGTCAGCCAGAAAGAAAAATGTCCAGGGCCCAGAAAAGGCAGGGAAGAAGAACGGAGATCTCCACAGCTGAAGGTAACAGAAGGGGCAAATATTTTTGAAAGCTATTGATAAAATGATGATGGTAAGGGAGTGTAAACAATGATGAACAGGTTGGGTATGTGCTGTGTTGTTGGGTGGCTACGGCTCAGGAGGTAGAGCGGGTTGGCCATTTATCGGAAGGTCGGCGGTTCAATCCCTGGCTCCCCCCAGGTTGCGTGTCGAAGTGTCCTTGGGCAAGATACTGAACCCCCTGGCGTGTATGAGTGAGTGTGAATGCTAGTTTCCGTTTGAGCACTTAGGCTCAGTGTATGAATGTGTATGACTGGTGAATGCAGATGTAGTGTAAAAGCGCTTTGAGTGGTCGAAAAGACTAGAAAGGTGCTATACAAGTACCGAACATTTACATTTGTTATAAATAAGGTTCAAGAATCATGTCAGGAAAGGAAAGCTGTTCAAATAAAA